AGCAGTACTTGTGGAAAAGGCTTCCATGGTTGAATGTCCTGGCTGAGAAACGGTTCGAGACTCGACCACCGCATCGTGGCTACTCCCCACAAAACTACTTTCTCGTGGCAAAAACGAGTGCTGCGCACTGATAATGAATTTACATTGTTGATTGCGCGTTTCTATCCGCCCACGCAGATCGAATCTCAAGGTGCACCGTTTGGTGGGGTTTGACCTGCGAATTGGCACGTGGTGTACTGCACTGCTCAAGGGCGGGTAATTGTTTAGTCTACAAGTGCTTTAAAAGGGCAGCCAACCCTTTTACCACTGGTGGCCTTTTTCTGAATCGTTTGTCACTTGGCATTTTGCAATGCCACCCCTAACAGTTCGCTTTCTTGTACGGCCGCCGACTTTCAGTCAACAGTCGTTTATTTTTAAGACCAGTCGGATCGGCCGGCTTCGCCGGCGAATGGTCGAAAAAAAAAATTGTTTTGAGAATTACCGCACTTTACCGTTTCACTGCTTGTATATACCCCCCTAGACAGTCAGCAAAATTTTCTATACCGCAATCCCGTCACTGATGAGAGCGCAGAATAAATGGCACCAACCATTTGGTATATTTGGTATACTCCCTACGGTTATCCCTAACTAACTTCATCTGCCCAACCATTGCTCAGTTTCACTTACTCCCCATTTCCTGGAGTTTTTCGGATATGTTTTGAGGGTTTTTGTCCCCGGCACCGTTCACTTCGGCGAACGCCCTGCCCATCGCGGGTGTGCTTCATTCATTCCGTCCGCCAACTGTTTGCCTATCGTTTCCCACAATTTCCGCTCTCCGGGATCTTCTAGAACCGAACTACGAATTTTTGAACTATGTAGCTCACAACCGTGCGCATGCCCCGCCCACAGTGGGCGGGGCTTAGCTCAGTTCATGTGTGTTCCGTACATCTTGACCCATGCCCTACCCAACCCACCCTTGACCCGCCCCCTCCAACTGGTTCTTCAGGTGATTCCGAATTTCCGGACAGACAGACAAACAGACAAAGACAAACAGACAAACAGACGTTGCCGTTTATATATAGTAGGATGGTCGAGTTAATGCGAAACTTCCGACGCTATAACTCTATAGCTTTTAACTAACCACAAACTATAATCATATGGAAGGTACCGTATAACTTATGACACTCCGACAAGGATGCTTGATTTTTTCATAGCTTCATTCAAATACAGATTCAGTCAACGCTGTACTGAGCCCCAGCACTCGAGACATTCGTCCAACAAAGGGGTAAGCCAGCTGTCCTCTTGTTTAAGATGGATGGCTACGGCGATTTTGAGGTAGTATAATAAATACCTGCCACATTTTTTGCGCGAAACCGCTTTGCTCGACAATTCAGTTTTTCGAAAAAAAATTGATGGTAGTTTTTGTAAAATTGGAGTGGAACTGGAGACATCTGTTTGGGTGGTAGAGAGGTTGTGAGAGGTTGTCGCACTGGAGGAGGAAACTTCGATGGAGCCTTTTTGGTGAAAGTAATTTAAGGTGGGGGTGGGATTGTGCTGACACCACCACCTCACCCATTCCAATGCTGTACCCCGGGTATCTGGAGCAGGAGGCTTCGTGTGCCGTACGTTAGCCTCCAAGACAGCAACCTTGCAGATCTTTCCACAGCCGATCATCCAGTGTGAAACGCTAGAAGGAACGGATGATTGAGCACCAGTGCCACTCGTCGAAGATAACGGTGCCAAATTGGTCGTGTCAAAATC